CTTTTATAACGAGAAAAAGCGTTGATCGCGGATAACAAATTTCAGGACCGTGAAATCGGTTTCTCGAGTCTTCGTCTCGAGGATCGTTCATGCGTCGTTTACCGATCATACGTTACGATCGATAATCTTAGGCGCTTTGCAGGAAATGACTGGTTAAGCAGATGCCCAAGGCAGATGGGCCGCAAGAGATCGAGAAGCTCCGTCGATCGATTTTATTCCCATTAAATAATCAGATTTACGTGTCACGTGGTGCTCTATTGCTCATGAAAATGGCAAGAATGTATCTCAATATATCTGTACACATCGTGCCCCCTTATCAGTAGTTATGCTTCATTCCAAGATCGTGATTTGATCAGAAAGAACATCATTATTCGTGTCTGGATCACAAAAAAACAATCGAAATCTGAAATTTGTGGATCAATTGTCAAATCAAACGATTATATATAAACTATATGTGTGTAATGATTCGCGGTAATCATCAATTGCATTGTGTATATATATATCTATGTAGCAATCTGTTGACTTAACGATAGTGTGAAAATAGATAGTGAGCAAGAATATTCGTTAAATTGTCGAATTTATTTATTTTGCCTAGGCACTCTTCAAATTTCTTTTGATGACGAAGATTCTTTCTCGTTCTTCTCAATTTTCTATTTTTGCCCCGCGAGTTTCATAAATTATAATCTAACAATAAATGAAATTTCTCAGCTATGTACATTTTGTATGCGTTATAAGCATAATAACAAGTAATTGAGGGCAAAATGATGATAAATCTGAATTAATCGTCTAAAAATTTCTAAATCTCATTCACACATTTTTATCAAATTAAGATGAGAAAATCGCTTCGAAATTTAAAGAATTTTCCACATTGTTATGAAGTTGTTTACGTTTACATCTTAAACCTTTTACGTTGAAGATATTTGTGACTTTCTTCAAATCGTCTCGGAAATGTGAAAAGCGTTGTTTTCGGCAATGCCCAACGCGCCGTACATTTTCGTTTCGCCCGCCCCATTGCTTGCGAGTAAGTTTCTCAAGTCTACCGTGAATTTTCATTCAACGAGCGGTCGGCGCGGATTTTCGTGAGAACCGTCTCGAGAGGTTTGTATAACAGGATACACCTGTGGAAAACAGGGGGAACAGCCGGACAACCGCGACGCATTTACGGAGATTTAGAGTGAGCATAGTGGCGCGGTTCGCCTCATCTCAGCTCGGCGTCGGATATCGCCCGTTGCTTCTCTTCGGTCGTTTCTCCTCGAGTCCCATCGAGGAGGATTCTGTAAAATTCGCGGAGACGAGCAAAAGGGATATATACGTGTAGTCGTGAAGATTATCTTCCATAGTCCGTGAATCTCCTCCGATCTTGCGTCGTCCCCATCGTCTTCTTTATCCCGTTTCTCCTTCCTTATTCGCGCTTTGCGCTCGCCTCGCAGATGGCTACTTTTTTTCATCCTTCGCGTTATTAACTCCCACACTTATTTCACTGTGCCTTATACGAGGAGAATAGGAAAGTACCATGGTTCACCTTTGCTGAACGTCTTGGATATATTGACGTTGAATGTAGGAGAACCAAACGAGACAAATGATCGATCGATGATTGTTATATAAGATATCATATCTTTAAAATTCAGTTTCCCACGGATATTTTAACGTATAAATAAATTATAATTCAATATGTTGCATATATACATAAATATATTTATATTTATATAAATATGTTACAAAATCCCTTTATCTTTATTTTATAATAAAATAAATTTAAATAATTAAAGAGCTTAAATATGTTTAATTAAAAAATTAGCAAATAAATTTCAATTGTTTTTGCCATTTAAAATAATAAAACTGAAAAATAAATAATTCAACTTTGCTTCTTTTGGATACGCTCGAAATAAATTGTGAAACTTTCATTTAATCTATATTTTATCTACAAATTTAGCTTTGTAATATTAAATCCATTACTGGAAAGAGAGGATATTTAAATCGAAAAAATCCGGATTTTCAATTTTCTCTGTGAAAAGAGAATGTAATTTAACAATTGTATCTATATATTGCTCGGTAATTATAAATTGCTCGGTTCATATATATTTGGATGAAACATATCCGCTTGAGACGCTCGCGTCTTTAAGATGCTCGAGGTGCTGATCCGAAGCTGGGACCAATAATTTAGACGGTTTCGAGGGATCGCGGCAATAATTTAACCCTCTAGGGAGGCCTAAACCGGCAGCTGCGCCACGACAGCAGGCACGGGGCGACGGTGTCGCGATAAACTCTCATAATTCACTTATGGGATATCCACAGCGTATCAGCGTCTCAGTTCCCGCTTGCTTCGCAATCGCGCGCGCTTAAATGCCAAGGAAGTCTCTATTGAATACAAATGCATGTTTCGTAATGTTTGTACATATACGATACACACACGTGCAAGCATGCGATTATTCATACATAGGTATGCATTGTGCCAAGCTGTGCTTGGCGAGATCTCTGAAAGCAGGGGCGGTCTAAGGATCATGTAGGTCCGGAGGAAAAATAGGAACAATTATATATAAACATAATAATACAATAACGCAATTTATTATAATTTATTATAATAATAATTGAAAAAGATAATCACGTGATTTAATTGATATTTTGAATATAAATGATGGATATTATGACTTTGTGCGTCTCTTCGTATGCAGATATTCTCGTTTTTTTTTACAAATGTATATTTTAATATTTTATAAGATAATATAAAGTAGTAAAAAAAGTAAATTGATTTATTACGATTTAATTTATCCCTTATGAGGGGAAAAAGGCTACAAAATCAAAACTTTAGCATACAACTTCAATTGCGAATATTCTACTGGTTCCCTTTTCGGAGCAGCCCTGGCAGAAATGAACAGCAGCCGTAAATTTCAGTACAATCTGCCGCGGGATAGGCGGATAATTAATTCTATGCAAAACAATGCCGCGTATGGATTACGCGTAAACTTCAAAGACGTCGCAAGAAAATTAAAAAATACGTCTGCACATGGTGTAACTCATGTTAGGATTAATGGGATAATTGCGAATGTACGATAGAGAATTCAGTCACTGTCTAACTATGCCAAAGTGTGCCTCGCGTCATTAGAATGCATACGCGGTGAATAATAGCGCCTTCCAATCTTAAGAATTTAATGAAAGAAATTCTCATATGATTTCACTTTTTTAATTTTTACAAGACAATAGGAAGAAATTGTATCTCTTTATAAAATTTTGTTATCAGAAAATATAAAAATTTATACGCATATAATTCTTCCTAGTGTTGTCTGTTTCTTAATTAATTTTAATTATATTTTTTTTTTTTTTAATTTGTTATATAGAATTATAGTTGTGTGAACACGTGAATTTTTTTTTTTTTTGTGAACACGTGAATTTTTTCGGAGCAGCCTGAATATCGTTGCTTTAATCCAATTATGAAGACAGTTGCGGCTGGATTATAATGATCCCTTGTGGGATCCGTGATACGTATCGTATCTCCTTCTCATTCCAAAACCGTTTCTACGTCGTGCACCGTGCAATCTGGCGACCGGTGATGACCGGTGACGGTGGCAATGGTATGGTGCTTGCACAATAGATTCGGTTTGATACATCGCCGTACGGCACCATTAATTTCGTGGCCTCTTGCCCCACAAGGACGCCCCGTACACAGTCTCGGCCGTTTAGATTGCTATTCCCCGTCAAGCATCGTTTGCGTTAATAACTCACCCAAATAAATAATAGCATTTAACACCATATAATTTGAGAAGCTGCCCGTCATTTACTTAAATTTCAGTATTATTCTAAGTGCAATTTGCATTTGCATCTCGCTCTTGAGAAAGCGAGAACGATTTTTTCGCCAGAGAGAAATAAAACGAGATGATTGTTTATCCTAAATGTTTCGATTTAAAATATTTGAAGCCTTTTATTTTGTATACGTTTGTTGTACAGATTCAATAAGGATTTATTATTTCACGCATATTTCTGACATGCGTAATTTGCATTCATGTAAAATATCTCTCACATTTTAACAAATACTTCGCGTTTTTTTAATTGTAAACTCTATTTATTGAACAAATATAACTTCAATTATATTTGATAAAATTAATTATATTTTATAAAATTTTATAATTACATTTTCAACTATATTTCAGGATTTTATGGAAATTGCTTATGGTGTTAAATAGAATTATATACAACGTTATAATATATAATATATAATATATAATATATAATATATAATATATAATATATAATATATAAATATTGAAGCAAAATATTGTTTTAAGGCATTTTTATGTACATTCTACTTTGGATTAATGAAAATTACTGTACATTATGTATATATAAAATGTGTTAGGTCGATAGTGGAAAAATGCGGGTACAATAATGCAAAAAAGTCAAGCATGTTCAGACATACTACAGGTAAGTCGCGACGCTCGTTTCAGTTGTCGTCAAATGACACGAATGTCGTCGAATGTTCTTGAGAAGAGACACACGTGATTTGACTTTGAAGTTATTCTACGCATGTCGAGAATTTCATGCGCGTACAAGTAGCCTGACATCGTTCATCGAAATGTTCCAGCAAACAAAGAAGACTAAGATTATGTGATTGTAATACCATCTATTTTCTAAAGTGGCAATACGTAAAATAATTGACATTTTACATTAGTATATTCACAAATTAAATAATATAATATATTTTTATGTTAAATTATAATAAAATTAATACAAAAATATGGGAAATTGAATATATATTTAAAAATTTTTACTGTCTTTTAAATTTTATTAATTTGATTCACACATCAATTTTTTAAAGATATTTAATCAAGTACGTGTATTTTTTTCATTTCAATTTTGACTTTTCCTTACTCAAGTGCTCGGTCAGAGAAGTTTATCCATGTTTTAATTATTGCACAGCATAATAATAATCACAGCAGTACAGTTCACTTTCGACAAGTTGTTTACAAATCAGGCACACGATCAATGTTAATATTCATTCGTTTCAGGAACAATGCCAACGTCGTCGTCCCGCCCACCGTATCAGCCGTGTCGAAGAAAGAGCCACACGAAAACATCGCCCGGATAGCGAAGCGGTACCTCGACGATAACATGCAGCAGGCGTGGATCAATCCTCGTCTAATATCGATGGTGAGTGAATATAAATGCAATGATTATGCGCCGGTCGCACACGTGCGTCGATCCATACCCATTATACTCGACTCGCTAGGGGGTTACGCGCGCGTACTTTCCGAGGCGGCCAGCAAATTAGTTTGCGGCGGACTTCAACATTGGGAAAGTTTCGTGATTAATTTATTGGGCGGGAATTCGTGCACACACTACATCCTTGCCGTTACACGGAAATCGAAACGCGGCGAGTTTCTAACTCCCGGACTATTTCTGCGATTTCTGGGAGCCCGGACTGTGCGGCGCAATATACGAGTATATCGTGGGAGGTCTCCTGGAGTATCAACGACAGTGTTGGGATTTTCACGGCGGAGGGAAATGTCCTTACGATATCGCGCGACTCATCCTTTAGACCTGGAATACGACTGCGGTAAACGGCCGACAAGTTTTCACGGCATTTCGAAACAAGAGATTCGGTAGCAAATGCCTTTTCGATTTTTGCATTGCAAGTAATAGTAGATATTTGACACACCTCGTTTGGAATTACATTCAAAATTTTAAATAAACAAGGTCTGATTTATTGAATGACTAGTTATAAGCGGAGAATGATTATATTAGAATATCTTAAGACTCGGGTTGCAGTTAGCTTGGAATAAAACGAGATCGTTTGTCAGCGAATGTATGTTCAACATGCCTTACGTCAACAATGATAGGTATGTTAGGTTTCGAGTACTTATTTTTCATAAAAGAAAAAAACGTCTCGATTAACAATCTAGAGTTTGAGTTACGGTTTTCGATGCATAAATATTGAACGAATCTTATGTTCCATTACGATGGACAAGTAGTTGGGTCGCTGTTGCTGACATTTCGAATATTGCAGAAATAAATCACACGAGCGCAACACTCGATCGAGTGTCTCATTAGAGTTGCAACCGAGCCACTCACGTTCGCATGGTTTTGAATCCATGGCTCGCAATCAGCACGCGACCTAGATATTTCGCTTTTCGCGAAATGTAAACTTCACAATGGCAAAATAAAGTAACTGTAAATCGGGCGATCTAATTACCATTAAAGCTCTTTTTCTTTTAGTTATCTTGTTATTCAGTACTTTGTTTTGTTTGAGTGATATCTCATCATGAGATTTTCAACAAGCGTACAGAGAACGAATGAAAGGATCGTATATTAATCAAATTTTTTTATTCATATTACTTCATATTTTCCATTTGCTTTTTTATGAAATTTTTATGCATATGCAGTGCGCAGTCCAACTTATGTATGAAGTATAAATAAGAGATGATAAGCATAAAAATATGTATACATGACAAATAATTTATATATACATATTGTATGAATTTCTTTCATGGAATGAGTATATATATATATATATATATATATATATATATATATATACATACATATATAAATGTTTCAATAAAAATGTTTTTGATAAGTTTTTTTTTATTAAATTGTATGAATTTTCTTGGAACGTTTATATATATATATATATATATATATATATATATATATATATAAACGTTCCAAGAAAATTCATACAATTTAATAAAAAAAAACTTATCAAAAACATTTTTATTGAAACATTTATTTGCCATTTATTGATCAGCATAAATGCTTATTCAATTGGAAACTAATGTTTATTATATTAGAAATTAATTAATGATTGTTTAATTGAGTATAAGAATATCAATAATGAAACGGTCACTATAGGTAATTTTTTTAGCTTCGTTTATCTCTGCACTTCCATGTAAATTTGGGGGAAAGGGGAAAAAATTATACTTTATACAAGGTAATCGGTTATGTTGTCGGCGACTTGATGCAACGGTCATAGGACAGATAGAACGAGCGGATAGGTCATTAAGCGAGCCAATAACAAACTCGTGATCCGCATAACCCTTCGTTACGTCCGCGGGTGCTATTAGCCCGTGCAAGGCGGCAATCATTGCCGGCAGGTAGGACTCGTTTTGTAACGCGCCGAGGCAGGTCCCAGTCGCGAACTCATTATTTTCACTCCCTCCCGCCCATCCTTCCCATCTCGCGTACTTTCCTTTCGGATCGGCTCGTCGATGCTCCTTCGCGACGCCTTCTCCGATCTCTTTTTGCCACGTAGTAGCAACCTTATGTAATGTCTCAGTTGCGTGTCTCTCCGAGCGCAGCTTGTTGCGTTGATGACTCGGCTCTGCGTGCACACCTGTATGCAATAGCACGCGACGAGTCTTTGGAAAAACATGAGGCGCAGCAATGCGCATTATCACGGTATAACGAATCAGGAATCTTGCAAGTCAGGTCCCAAATGCAAACATTGAACTCGGATTTTGAAGATCTGCATTAAAAAAAATATTGATATCATTGCTTTTTTTCAGGAAAATGAAGTAGAACCTTATTTAAATAACGTTTGCAAAATTTTGTTTACATTTCTTTAATTAAATAAATAATGAAAAGATAATGGAAAATTATTAAATGTGTGAAGACACTTGAAAAAGTAACGTCTTTTAAAATATTTGGTAATTTTCGATTGACATTGAAATGTACATAAAGTATCATGTACTTACGATGCTAAACATGATCGAGTTTGCTTCACGCGATGTTCCAATCAATAATAATGGACAGATTTAAAATTAAGCATCGCGAGAAGATTCTCCGACTGTTTCTTTCTTGTATACTTGTTTTCCGGCTCCGATATCGATATTAGTGCGCGTATTCATCGGGATTGCGAAGATTTACGATCGTTCCGTATTACTTATGCCCGGCGGCTTTATTAACATGATTGGTCGCTCCGAGGATAGATCGCTGCGCTTGCAACCGGATCTCGTTCTCCGGTTGGGAGCTCGATATCTCGATCTCCTTGTCGGTGCGATGGCTCGTTCCAAGCTTGAAAGAAGTCGTTCGTTCGACGCCACGTAGTTACCGGCGCTTCTCAAGAGCCAACGACACTATTTGTAATTTGTTACGAGGGTTGCCTCGTTATAGTCGGCTCTAAATCCTTACGATCTTGCTCTCGCTGCCCATGGCGACGGGAGACCCGCCCTTTCGCTAAGTATCGAGCCTTCGAGCGTAATCCAAACCTCGGTCTTAATGAATTTTCTGATTTAATAAGAGAGCGCGCGTGTGTGAATGTTCGCAGCCGGCAACGAATATCGGAATGTTACTAGTTACTGTGATTGAAGAGAAGTCGCCAAAATTTGCATACGCAAGACATGCATTTATCAGCTTGTGATCTCACTTCGTTAAGTACATATATCAAAATTTTTAACGCGCAATGTAATTTATGTTTATCGATTTAAAACGAAATAGCATCGAATTAATTTTTACATACAAATTTTGTTATCAAGAGTATGAGCACTGTCTTATTTTTCAAACGATTTTATTTCAGATGGTTGAATCTTTTTCACATTATAAATCGCAAACACTAAATGTATCTCAATGTAAAGTACGCGATTGATGATGAAAATTAATTAAGGAACGACTCGAGCAGGCGTTTCATTTCTCGACTCATCTCAGCTGTTTAATAATCTCGAAAATTTTGACAGAAAGCTCTGCGTATTCGCGTGCACAGACGTGTCTTTATATATGCGCTTAGTACAGAATAACTGCTTGGCATCTCGCCCGATGATTCTCTCGAGTACCCTGCATTCGTCGTCTCTAATAACAATAATAATAAGAAGGGACGGAGGGCCGTTTTAATCAGAGGGTTTGCCCACCGACGTGATTAACTTAAAGGGCCGAGGAAAAGGGCGGATACCGCTGTCATTTCAGGTGTTTATCATATCAGTGAGGGGTTGCGCTCCGTCATCTTGATTGGGGGATAGGGTGAAATCTTGAATTTTGCATGTATCTTTGTTCGTTGTTTCTTCCTGTACATTTTCCTGCCAGCGTCTTTTCTCGCTTTCATCTGTGTTTTATTATTAACTATTCGAGCGTGGAAATCTTTTTGTTTTATCGTAAACCTACGGGAATGACTCGAGTATTATGCAATGTTAATTCGTCGCCACCAGCTTTGTTAAGATAAATAGAAATGACATGAAAAGAGAGAAATAAGTGGATAATGCCTCTCGTTTAAAATAAGGAATAGACAGTCTAATAACAGATATTTTACATTTAATTGCAGTTGAGATCATTTTTCGTGTTCATTTTTTTTATCATTTTGTTATTAAAAAAAATCATTTATCAGAAAAATAAAGTAGCTCACGAGAATGATAAATGTCATGCGTATTTTCCAAGTCTAAGTATTTTCGTTCTTATAAATATCAGTTTTTAAGGAGGATATAGTCTTGCCGCGAGAAGCAGGAAAAACGGAAAATGCGTAACCGTGCTCAACTGACAACGCCACTCTTCCTTTTGGTACTGATGTCATGTCCGTGGAATTCTAGAAGAAGCCTCTCTTATTTCTCTCCCCAGTTTTCCTGCTCTCGCTGATCTTACGTCTCACGCTTTACTCCGATGCTCTAATTAACAAGATTTTCCCGTAAGTCTTTAAAAGATCGCGCTCTGACAAGTAACAGTACGATATCGAATACCATAAAATGATTACCGAGACGACTTACAAAATTAGATTTGCAATACATTTTTTGACGAAAAACATTATGCAATTTCTCTGTGTGTCACTTATAAAAATTATTATATAAATTTAATGAAAAATCTGATTTGTTATTCTCTTCTTGATTGTAATTTACTAAAATTGATAACAAGACAACTAGATTGTAAAAATCTCTCTGTTATTCAATTGAGATTAAAAACATTATTTTAAACACTATTTTGAATTGTGAAAAATTTGTGACAAAAAAAAATATTAATGATCGAAGTTGTATGTGCACAAATATTTCCTATATTATCAATGTACAATTATACCGCTCTTCACACCCGGCATTTTTTACATCAAGTAGCGCCGGTTAACCCCGAGGAAGCGGAAAAAACTGGTTACTTCCGAATCGGAATCTTCGTTGTCTCTGAGGGATTATTTCGCGACGAGACTACTCGAGTGATATCGAGAGTGTCAATACTTTCGTCGT